GGGGCACCGGCTTCCAGGGTGAAAAGGGCACCTAAAAAAATTTCCCTGGAAAATTTTCCCGTCTTTCTATACCGAAATTGCACTTTTCATCACAAAAAAGGCACTTTTGGTTCTTGAAAAAATCCCCCCCCCCCCCGTTCCTACGACCCTGAACTCGACAAGATCACGTCATTTCGTTACCAGTCTCATGCTTAAACAACTATAGGGAGCCACCTTAAACATACAGTAGTTACTAGTTCAAGTGCACTCTTCCCATCAGCCCCTTCGCCATCTCTCCCTACTACAATACTTCATGTATACACATCATATGGGCATCACTGTTTTTTTACAATTAGAGATGCCTGGGTACGAGGCAGACTGTTTTGCCATATTTCAGTTTTTGCCATATTGTCTGATAGAGTGGCAGCTATTAAGGACTTAAAGCCGCATGTGCTAGGCTGAGTATGAATACAATCATTGACAATGTCGATTATAACGGTCGGCAATCGGCTATTTGCCGTTCAAGTGTTCAACAACAACACTAAATGGTCGATTAATTATTTTGCACCGATATTCTACTGATTATTTTTTTAACCTAGTCCTGGTCTCACAATATGATATATCAAAATAGCTGCGGTTTAAGGAGCACTATATACTAGGCGATATGTAATTTGGAAATGGTTATCAAATCAAGTCAAGAATACACGTTGTATATAGCTAGTCAAGAATACAGGTTGTATAAAAAAGTGTTCCAAATTTAAATATTGAGTGCAAACTTAAGATCAGTCAATTTTTCTGTGCTATTTTTTAAAGACTACTAAGGTTTTAACCATTGATTGACATCTTTTTTGTATCATTCCATGCAAGCCAGCAAAGATGACCAAATACGAGGCTACGAGCCCAATGAAAATTGCCGGTTTGTCGTTATTGGATATATTTTCAATAGTTTTGCACCCAATTTCCCAAGGGTGGAAAAAATGCTTCAGCAGTTTTTTTCAATTTCTTGGGTTCACAATTTTAGCATGTACTTGTTTTCTATTGTAAAAGTGTTGAATTCAGTTGGGTTACCGGAAAATGAAATTCGTAGTTTGTCAGTGTTCAATTGCACGCATTCGATCCATTTCGTTTTAGACTGTTCAGATATCTAATAGACTGTTAGTTGCGGCATGAGCTTCACCGCATTAGTCTTTCAGTAACAACTTCTGAAGCCATGATATCATCAGCGCACTTCCACACTCCACAGGTTGTGGTAATTAAATTTTTTCAGGTCATGAATCACCTGATAAAAAATTGGTGACAACCTTTACCTGCATGTGCAAGTACACACGTAAAAACGCACAAGTTGTCACAGGTCTGCAAACAAGTTGAAACAAGTATGTTCAAGCTGTCGACAAGTTGTCTTCGCACTACTTGTTCCCAGTTGTTGGAACAAGTTTGGTACAAGCTGTCAACAACTTGTAACAAGCTTGATGGAATTATCAGACATGTTGCAAGGTTGTTCATGTTACAAGTCTGATACAGTCATGATATAACAAGACTGTTAGAAGGTTGACGACACAAGGTTGTAACAATATTGTTATATCATGACTGTAACGGACTTGTTGGAACAGCCTTGTAACAAGAGTCTGATAATATCAACAAGCAGGGGTTTCAGAATGATTTGAAGTAGGCGGTTGTACCAAAAAAGTAGCCGGCTGTGACTGATAGTTAAAAAATCGCGCGGGGAAGGGAGCGTGCCCTCGTGCCCTCGCATGGAAATTTAAAAAAATTTCGCCGCAAATTAACAATCAAATAATATAGAATACGTAAGAAGACAAAGTACAACTATTAACATTCAGATTTAGATGTCATTTGCGTTTAGGGGCGGACCATTTGATTTTTGAGGGGCGGGGGGGGTGGTTGGAAGATTCAGTCTGTGTAAGAATTTTTTTCCGCCCAGGGGAATAAGACAGATATTTTTTCCTGTAAAGTGCAGCGCAAGATATTTTTTCCCAATATATTTCGCGGCAGGATATTTTTTTTTGCCCCTCATAATAACTTCTTACAGTAACTTTAGACTTTCATATAGCTATCGCCAAAGACGTTAACCAGGTTTTTCAGTCAGAGGAGGCCGAGCCCGAATCCCAAGAGGGGCCAAGGAATTTTCACTGTGCTTTATTTTATATGGTTATGTCTTAATGTTCCCCACACTAAGGCGTGCAGATTTACTTACAAAAAATGTGTAACTGCACCAAAACCTAAAGCATGCAGGGATAGAGTAGAGTACTCGAAAATGGGGAGGTACAGTATATGAATAACCTGTAACCTTGGGGGGTTCGGGGGCATGCTTCCCCGAGAAAATTTTAAAATTTGAACCTCGGAAATGCTATTTCCTGCGTTTTCAGCCATGGATTCATCCAACAACTTTGCTATACTAAGCCTAAGGAACACTTACTGTCCTTTATTTTAAATTAAACAAGGGAAAATCACAAAATGAGCTTTGATTAATATGTAATAAAACAAGATTTCAATAATGCGATTTTTAACTGCCCTCCGAAACAACAATGTTCCAACAAATATAGCTCTGTAGCTTTTCAATCGTTCATACAAATAGCTTGTTGGGGATCGGGTTGCATCCTCTTCAGAAATATTTTAAAATCTAGACTCTCTAAACTGGCATTTTCGCATTATAATCATCGTATATACAGTACGTTCAACTTGCATCCTGTAGACGGGCCTTTGTAGCTTTAATAGTCTGGAGCTATGTTATCAAAAAACGCACACAGACTCAACCATCCAAAAATACTTTTTCTACTATGCATATTAGATATGTATAAACAAGATGCCTGCTCAGGCGTTCACACTGGCCTGAAAATGGCAACTTTCGTGGTATTGAGTGTAATGTGTAGTAGAGAAGTAGATAGGGATACAGGATCATAGGGATACTGGATCATATAAATACAACCAATAAATACAATCATGATCAGCAAATATCAACCATAATATACCAAGACGCCGGCTCAGACGTACCCTCCGGCTACGAGCAACTCAACCTGACAAGCCAGGCCCACTGTAATAATATGATCATCAACTACCAACCGTGAATAATGACGGGCCAATAATAGCGAATAAATTATAGTCCTTGATTTTTAATGCCGTTATATGGCTAGTTTCAGGTGCTAAAAAGTTCATAGACGTAGACGATTCTTCAAAGAAATACGCCAATTTGCTTCCATTTATAAGATAAACTGATCCCAACCCAAAGCCCTTCTCTAACCCCAACCAGTAAACATCTAATAAACAATTTGAGAATTAAAAAGTGGGGGGGAAGTTGGATCTTGTTCCAAAAACAAATCGAACCGTATCACGTTTCAATTCGCCGCACGCAACGCCACCTCGCTGAATACAATCGAAAACATACATTATATAGTAATATATGATGAATTAGAAAGTAATAATTAGGTGCAAATTTATAATTATGCAAATAAATGCAAGAGCACAACGTATGTTTATGAGCCCACGTACAACGTATATTTATACTTGTTAATTAAAAAGTCAAACTGTCAAACCTTTAATTGTCCTTGTTTATATTCCACTATATTGTATAAATTCGCTGGGTCCAAATTTTGGGGGTTTCGAGTCGTTACACAAAGAAAAACACACTAATTCAACACACAAGAAAGGCCAGAGTGCGACACAACGTAAAATCCATAGGAAGCCGGCACAGTTCTTTGAAAATTCAACGAAACTGTGTGAAATACTGATATTAGATCGCTCAGTGAAAAGTCGCCATTTTGAAACTGAACTGCATATGTCACTGGAGCACGTTGCACCCTGAGCCTGCGATGACCTAACGCAAACTCCATTTCTCGTCGAAAACAGAAAAAAGGGGGATTTAAGACACTTGGCCTACAGGCCAGTGTAATAACTTATAAACTTGTACATATCTTAAGCCCATATTTTCTCAGGGGGGGGCAACAATTTTGCCAGGGAACGCCACTGGCTATCGTATGTTATAGGCTCCAAAGGCGCCAGAATCCCTGTGATGTTGTCCACTGTTCACCCAGTGTTCTTTTAAGCAAATGTGCCTGCTCAAAAATGCAAAATCTTGCAAGCCTGTGGACACAATACTGAAGTGAAGAACGTCAGTAGATTTACATGTAGGAATTTTTTTTTTGAGCGCTTTCTTTTGCATGAGATCTCCTTGGATTGCAGGAATTTTTTTTTCGAAATCTTTCAACACCCCCCCCCCCTTAAAAATCAAATGGTCCGCCCCTTATACTTGTAAGTGACAATGTACTTTAATGTGCTACTTGTAGTTTAATTTTTACAGCTGCATGAACAGAATGACAATGTACACTACAGTAATAGTAATTATTTTATGAGTCCGAAATCATTAATTAAATGATGTTATATTTATGTACGTAATGAACTTTACTTCACCACTTCTTCTTTCTTTTGCTATGTTTGGTACTATGTATTATAATTTATCTTATTGATCTTTCAAAATAAGTGATGTTTTGCTTGAATTCAGGGCTTGAATTTTATCGCGGCAATTGCTGTAGAGGGAGAACAAAATGCTGTGGATCATTGCGGCAATGACGGCAATTTTTTGCCGTATAGTATAATTTTTAAACTCATGTTCACTGTGCATTACTATTTTGATACTTGAATTCAGATGTTGATCAAATCATCCGTAAATTACTTATTTTAGTCTCAGTTTTCTTCGAGATAAACCACTAAAGAAATACGTAAACTGACATGTTTCTAGCTTGTCAGCAATCCAAAGTCTGTAACAATAAAATTAAATTTTTATTACAGCAATTTGAAAAAAAAATGCCGTGGAAACTGACAAAATTGCCGTAGACAGCTGTTACGTTCTACGGCAATTTTTAATTAACGCCATTGCCGTCAATTGATTTCAGGGAAATTCGAGGCCAACTTGAATTCCAATTGGAACATAACAAACATCGTGTTGGTTCGCTTTTTTATTATTATTATTATTATTATTATTAACTTTTTGCCCACAAAATATATACAAGTAGTAAAAAAAATAATTACAGTAGTATAATGGGCTAGGGACCTTTGGAAATCCTGTTGGACTTTTATCATAAGGCCCCTAGTTTTAGTATTCTAGTGATAAAAGACTATGAAAGAAGAAATTATATACAAGCAGAAACTATTTACAACAAATTGAAAGATAAAAAATACTAAGAAATAAAATAGAACATTACTATCATTAGTGATTCTAAGGCTATTGCTAAGGTTTTTATAATTTATTTACATTAATTAGATAATGTACTTTTGTATATATTGTACGCTTGTACGTACTATTTAAAGCACGCGTAGGAGTGTTTTATCACATATAAAACACGACGCGTAGCGGAGTGTTTTATATGTGATTAAACACGACTACAAGTGCTTTAAATAGCTTCAAAAACGACTCATCTTATACGAGTTCATTGGCAAAGTAATTTTTAAAATAAACTTTGTCTAAACCGAGAAAATCAAAGCTAAAGTTTATGTGAATTAACGTGATTTTTTATCACATATAAAACCACGACACGCTTAAGCTGAAGTAATACGAGCAACAAAATTGCTGCAACTTGCAACAAAATTTGATTTCAACGCATGTTAAGTAGAAATGTTGACACATGTTGCCTCATGATTTGTAATGTATGTGTAAACACATTTTCAATTAACATGCGTAGAAATCAAATTTTGTTGCAAGTTGCAGCAATTTTGTTGCCCGTATTACTCCACCTTTATG